GATATTAAGATTCAAAATTAAGTAATTAAATTATTTGCTATATAATTTTTATATTAATTTTAATCAAATTTTATATAATAAATAATAATTGAAAAAAGTTATTATTAGTAAAATTTTTTTTATAAAATATATAATAAAAATTTGTATATTTAAATAAATTCCAATATCTAATAACTTAATTAAATAAGACAGAATTAAAATTTTATTTGAAAAAATAATCTATTAATGTTTATCTGAGATATAATCTTTTTGCACCAACCCATAATAATTATAATATTATTATATAATAACTTATTAGTAGTGATGCAGTATTTATATTAAAAATAATTTCAAATTAATAGATATGTAATATGCAAATTGATATCAAAACAGGTTTTTAATTTTTTTTGATGTGATGGATACTTGCATTTATGCACACATACATGAGAATAAATCCACGCGATGCACGCGCGTGTTTTAATTATTCAACGTCAACTAAATATTCGCAAGAACGAAAAAAAATGATTAGGTAATGCAACCACCAGCATAAAAAACCCAATCGAATTAATACTGTTCGATTCTCTTTTTTTACATTATTACTCATCGTTTGTATATAACATCGATAAAGGCGCGTCCAAATTTCGTCCCGTTTTGATCTCTTCTTATACGTTTTTCGATTCTGTCTTTCTTTTGTCGATTATGCGTAATATGTTTTATCAATTGTCGCAAGAATTATATTTAAAAAGGAATTTTAAAAGGAAAGTACAAAAAGATGACCACGAACTTAGAATACACAAAGAAAAATGAAAAAATATTAAAACAAAATTTCTAGCGTCAATTGTTAAAAACAAATTTCTCAGCCTATTAAATAAAATTAATCATCCACAATCATTATCTTTCTTTTCCTCTCTCCTTCCAGCAAAAAAAACCCAAAGTCAAGAGAGAGATAGATCTGACTTTAAACTTCCGCATTATTAGTCCGGCATCCCGTATAAATGATACAATTTTTGTATGCAACATCTTTTAGTACACTGATGATGAAATTGTTAATTTTTGTTGCTATTGCTGCTGCTTACTTGCTGCAAAAAAGATCAAATTATTTTGTCTATTAAACTTAATAATATTAATTATAATTATGATGATGAATGATGATGATGATGATGATGATGATGAATGATGATGAATGATGATGATGATGATGATGATGATTGATGACGATAATGATGATCAAGAGTTGAGACTGCTGTTAGTGCCGTCCGGTGGCCCGTTCAGAACGTCATCTAAACTTCGATGACGTTCCAACTCTGATAATACCGATTCGTCAACTGGTATGATTGATTTCCGACGGAATAAATTGACACCATCTGGTCTACCATCGAACATTCGCTAGAAATTTCAAATTGTATCACATGAAAATTATGTAAGGTATAAAATTCTCGCGAATAAAAATTCTACTCGATTACTGACCATTTCTCCATGTTCATCGTCTGGATTCTCTTCATCGACCTGTTCTTCTATCTCCTCTTCACCACTCGAAAGATTTTCAGGATCATCGTTCACGTAAGGATTATAGCTAGGAACTGTTAAATTACAAATTTTTTCTCTATTATGCTCATCATCTTACGTTTATAATGCTCTCAATGCCTAGATTTCAATGTCATCTTTAACCTACCAGAAACCTCAACCCCCAAGGTTGTAGTGATTGTTGGTCCACCAATAGGATACGGCAAAGGAAGCCCTTCTGAATTGTGAGTCGCCGTTTCTTCTAGTTTGTGCCATGTCTCTTCTCGTTCTTTCATTCTTTTCTTTTCTCTAATAGAAAAGAATAATTTATTCAATTTGCGAAAAAATATTTTTTCTTTAGGAAATAATTCCAATTTATCCTCGCTATTTATACTTACAATTGACGATTCTGCTTATATTGAGCAGCACATTCATCAAAAAGAGCAGGATTAATCTCCATAAATAGTTTAAGTGCATTGTAAACCAAGCCGTGAATCGTCCTGAGATTATATAAACATAGAGCTTTAGTTCTACAATCATAAAAAATCGTTGATTTAAAATACACTTAATTAAGATATTAGCATTTTTTTACCGATTCCAATGAGCTTTTGAGTTATGATACAGTGATGGAAACATTACTGGTAGGATCGCATTAACATTATCCCCTATCAGATTAACAATGTATTCATTGTTCCAATAATAAAGAGCTCTTTCTGCTACCTTTGACAAGGCAAAGAATGATAATAATCGTGATCAAATAAGGCACAAAATCCTCCAAATCGCCATAGTCAATCTAAGAAAAAACCACATTAACTAACTATACCTGGAAATGAGGACTGGAAACACATCGTGCTATCTGTTGAAACAGAGGTATTTGTATTTTTACAAATTCCAGTGGTTCAATTACGTCCAATATTTCTTCTATTTCATTCAAAAACATGACTTCCTTTGGACTATTAACTTTCGGCCAATATCGAAGCAAACCACAAATAACCTTCACACGCGAGGGAAGGAAATAAATACCGCTCAAGTTTC